CCACCCCGCCGGGGGCGGGTGCCCCCCCCCCGCAGCCGCACCGCTGCGTGGCCCCCCGCGGCCTGAGCCGTGCATACAGCCGCATCAGCGCGCCACCTGCAGGTCCCGCAGGTCGCACAGCCACCGTCGGGGACACCGCCCCGGGACACCGCCAGGGAGTTCCCCCGGCCCTGTGCCAAGCCGCTGGGGCAGGAGGTCCCCACGCTGGGGGCCGAGGCGCTGCGCCGCCGGGCAAGGCCAAGGCCGGGGTTCCGGTCGGTGCCGGGTAGCGCCCCGGATTCAGCTCCCGGAATTCGCTGGCGGGCCGCCTTCTTGGGAGCCCGGACCTGGCACACTGCTCGGAGCACGCGGCGCACCCCAGACCACGGGGCTCCCCGAGACCGAGCGCCGGCTGCCAGGAACACTCCGATAAAGGAAGCCCTCTGTAAGCACCCCGAGACCGAGCGGCACACCCCGGAGCCTCCAGTGCCCAGACCAGGAGCACTCCGGGCCAGCCGCAGCGACACCGGCCACACCGGCCACACCTGCCACACCTGCACCTGCAGCCTGCACTTGCTGGGTTTCGCAAGCAGAGACTGCAGGACGCTCGTTCTTTCTTCTGACTGAGTTCCCGCCCCACCCGCTGCCTTATCTCCAGTCACCCCACACCTCGCAGAGCCTCTGCTTCCCGCCCACCGTCGTCAGGAGCCCGGGATCGCAGCTTCTCCCCCGCTTTCCAAGCTGAACTGTTCCTCTGCAGTCGCTACCTGGTGGGAAGGACGACGGCCGCCCCGCCCCAGCCCCTGCCCAGGGACGTCCCTCCGAAGGAAGGTAAGGACAGGCGCTGTCGCCACCTGCGCCCCTCCGCCCTCTGAGCCCGGGGGTAGACACTCTGAAAACAGATCAGTTCATGCTGCGTATGGATCGTCTGCGCAAATCCCTGCGATAAAGGTTGAGACGGCCTGGGCGCCTTGCTCCTGCCCCTGTTAGTGCGGTTATGGGGTGGAAGCATGCCGCGTTCTCTGGAAAGGCGAGGACAGCCCAGATAAGTGATAGCCACAGCTGCCACTCACTAAGCACTCACTGTGTGTCTGGCAAAGCAGAACACTTTGGGATGTGTTATTTTCACGTGCTTCATCTAAGGACCGGATGAAGGAGGCACTAATCCTATGCTTAATAAAAGGGAGGGGAAATCAGAGCACAGAGAGGTTCCCTAATTTATCCCAGGGCATCCAGCTCTAAGTAGATCCTAGATTCACACCCAATTTCTGATGTCAAAAGCTCTGACTTGTCTTAATCTGAAGTCCCTCCAAAAGACAGAATTCCTAGTAGGCTTCATCGCTGTTCTTGGACAGACACAGAAACCCAAGATTAGTGAATTAATTTCACAGATTTGCCCGGTTCCATTCTGGGGTGTCCACAAACTTCCATCCTGGGCAGACACGGTGCTGGGTTCTGGGACACACTTCTCGACTCTAGGGCCTTTGAAGGCCTGGGAGGGTATGTTTGGAGAATCCGGTTTGTGTGGTTCTGGGGACAGCATGGATCAGTCCTCAGTGCAAATGTATATAAAAGACTGAGAGGACCTGGCCCAGGTACCCAGTGGAAGCAGAGGTTTCACGTGGGCAGAGCAGTGGTGCAGGAGAGGGAATCGCTTTGTTGGGGGGCATGGGCGAGGCAGGCACGGTTTGGTGCGGGCAGTGGAGAGCTTCCTTGAGCCATCAGGCAGATCTGCAAGGACCTGTCGGAGCCTGGAGGCAGGTCACATGGCAGGATCAACCCACGGGCTAGCTGACCTGGGGGCAAGCAGGAGGGTGATAAGAGCATGCACTTATGTGACAAGGTCCTAGAGGTGGCTGTGATTTCTACACAAATTCTGCTTTCCTTAGAGTGGAAGTGTATGTGTCTGTGTGTGAGACATCCAAGATCATTGTTTTTCTTCTTTGCATTTCAAGTTTTATCATCGTACAGGCTGAATAAAGCACTTATACACAGAAAACTGCCGAGGAAAAAATTACATCGGAAAAGTCACTGGCGTTATTCTCATCAACGAGGCATATCTTAGGAAGTACTCAGTCACGCGTTTTGCTAATGAATGGTTTAGAGTGAGAGCATGGGCATTTGTTGCCAAGTGAGTCATTGTAACTATTAATGCTGGCTGGGCTTCTAAGGGAGTTTGAAAGTGGCCTAACACCTCCTGGCTTTTATGAATTATTGTTCTTGGAGAATGGTCAGTTTTCCAGGGTGAGATCTGTGAATGAAAGCAGCAGGGTGGAACCAGGTGCTCAGATGATGGCACTTTGGACAACCTAGAAGAGCCTGGTACTTCATGGCCTTGACTGGGAGAGAGCGGGCAGCCCACTTTTGACCTTCACTGTCGGTCACGTAATTTGAGGAAGGTAACTTTTTCTTTTTTTTTTTTTCATTTTAAGAAAACTTCATGCCATTGAGTGATTTAGGAAAATTTGCAACTTTTTCTCTTTTCTTTGTTGCTATAGGGCCTTGTGCTCACTGGAGAATGACAGACGGAGAGAGAGATGGAAAGTGAAAAATCACTCCCCAGGAGGGGATAGCCACACCACAATCTCTTCTCCTCCGTTCTCCTCTTGGAATTTTGGACATACATGGACACGTGCCTGGCGTGATTTTTTAAGCCTCTGGGCTCAGAACTCTGGTTGCTTAGACTGCTGTGTGGGATCCAGAGCCTTAACTACCATACTACCTGCTGGCCTGCAAGTATTCTTCATGGGTGTGTATACATGCACGTACAAACCTACCCGTGCATACATTTACTATATCCTAAGTAATTAAATATATAGATTTCTTAAGTTGCTAGAGGGTACTTGTGATCCCCAGAGAGAGAGAGAGAGGGAGAGAGATGAGGGAGAGAGACAGAGAGAGAGAGAGAGAGCATTCCTCAATGGGATTTGGTCAGACTGCAAACCCTTCTCCATTTCTTTATCCTATCGAGAGTTTAGCCATATATGCACATGTGCCTGGTATGTTTTTCAAACTGCCAGGGCCAAGTGGAATCCAGGTCCTTTAACCGCTAGGCCATGGGGCTGGCTCACATGTGCATATTTAAGGTCTAGGCTCACGTTTGAAGTAAATAGCGAGCGCCCCAGGTCAGTGGCTCTCTCCAACGCTGTCCGTCAGGACCATCCAGATTGGCGGTTCTGAGCACTCAGGGGGCTCAGGGCCATCTGCGATGGCTGGCAGGACCTACGCACCACTGATTTTTCCCCACTCTGTATGAGAACTGGTGCCCTAGAATTCGTGTTCATTGGTACAGTGTGCAACATGTCGTGATTTGAAAGACATTTTCAACGTAGATTATACAGATGTGCCAATGATCAGACAAGCTCTTTAATGTGTTCATTCATCAGCTCAGCAAATAATAAATCAACAAGCAGACATAAAGTAAAAATATGCCCATTAGTGATAAAAAGTATGGATAGAAAAACAAGGCAAGGTGGAAGAGCAGAGAGGTGCATGTGTGTGCACATATGTGTGTGTGTTTGCACTTGGGCAAGTGTGTGGTGCTAGAGTAGAGTTTCCAGATTGGTCAGAGAGGACCCGTGCATTCTAACCTAGTATCAGTGACTGCAAAGAAAAGACAAGCTTTATTTAACTAATGATAGAAAAGTAGTTAGTAGCTATTTGAGAAAAGTAAGTCTAGTCAGACTCTTTGTAAGAAAATTGTTAGTGGATGAAAAAACTTAAATAAAAAAAAGCAAAAGACAAAACTAAGTGATAAAAAATGAAAAAAAAAATCAATACAGATAAACATTTATTTGACCACTGGGAGAAGGGACTGTTCAACTTAAAAAGTAAGCAGAGGGACGAGCAGATGCGGTAATGGTTATGTTGCTGGACTCCTAAGTAGTCAACCACAGTTCGAATCCTGAAGCCGAGGGCTTAAAATTCATGCTGGGCTCGTGTGTATACATGCCTAAGATCCTGAGAGGAGAATGCAATGTAACTATCCCCCCGGGGAGTGATTTCTCACTTTGTCTCTCTCTGTCTCTCCAATGAGACACACATCCTATAGAAAAATAAAAAAGAAAGAAAGAAAATATCAAGGGGGAATGCAAAAGAATGATCTGTTTGGCTGCATCAATTCAATGCCTTTCATATGTTAATACACCAAAAGAGGAATTCAATGGAAACTAAGCAGTTTGGATAAAACATTAAACATCTGAGAACTGGACAAAAGACAAAAGGAGATGATTCAATAAATGAGCCATTTTATTTTGTGGAAATGAAATTAATAATACATGATTAATATTTGCCTCAATGATCCCAAAAGAAATGCAGATTTAAAGAAAAGATAATATTTTTTTTTCTATTTTTATTACCCAATTATATTTTTTAAAATGAGAATGCTCCTTGCTTTTCTGGGTGTGGTAGAGGAATACTGTCTTGCATTACTGTGTGAGGGAGTATGAAGGGAGTATGAAATATTGCAACATTTCTGGAATGCACTTGGGTAGTATACATTTCTCATGTTTAAAGTGTATTATTTGACTCATTTTTAGTACTGCCATGTAGCAACATCAAGAAGATAATAAGAAATGTAGACAAGTAATAATTGTTGACATTCAGGTTTTTTTTTTTTTTTGGAGAGGTTTTTGCTATAGGGCACGTGCCTTTGCCAGAAAGACAGAGAGAGACGGAGAGACAGAAAGAGAGAAATCACCCCCCCCAAGGGGGATGGCCACACCACAATCCCTTCTCTGTTCTCCTCTTGAGATCTTGGGCATGCATGCACATGTACCTGGCATGAGTTTAAGCCACCAGATCTGGGACTCGAACCACAGTCGACTACATGGGAGTCCAGCAACATAGCCATTACGCCAACTGCTGGTCTCATTCAAGTAGTATTTATTATTCACCAGACACTCTGCAATAGTAGCTCATGCAATCATCTCCCTTCTATGGAGAAAGAAATTGAGGCACAGAGAGAGAATGTGACTTGTCTATGGTCGCTCAGTTGGTTATGAGTCAGACTGGCCCCACAGGCCATGCTCTGAGACACTGAGCTCAACCGTCTTGCATGTGAAGACGGTCATCGGGTTACTTGATAATATATCCTGTAAATGATAATACAGCCATAAGAAGGGGCACGAGGGAGCAATTCAAACAGTGTCCACAAAGAGTATATAATTTATACTATACAAAGCAGGACAATGCTTTCTATGGTATTAGCTGGAAAGGCAGGATATGAAATTATGTAAACATCATCTTAATTATTGGAAAATAAATAGAAAAGAATGTAAGAGAAAATATGCTAAAACCTTATGCATGTTGAATTTTTTTCCTTCTCAATCTTGATTTTGTGAAAGTCCTACATTGGACATATACTGCTTTAGAAATCAGAACAATGTTTAGAAGAAGGAAGACGCTTTAAAGTTATGAAAAGATAAAATGGTTTCCAGATCAAGCATAGCACTAAACAGATTACTCAGAATTTTCTATAGATAAGAAATACATATTCTCCTGCATCTATTTTGTTAATACTTGCTAGGGCATGTGTGATGTTTCTGAGAAGAACTCTTTTTCTGAACATGAATTCATTATTTCATAAAATCTTAATCTCTTAAACTCACACACAGCACAGCAAACATTTTACATACTCACTTCTACATCTCCACAGAGATCTGTGTGAATATCCTGGGGTCTTACTTAACACGTTTCATATTGAAATTCAAGCATTAGCTCATCAAAATGTTGAATAACCTCACAATAGTTTTATCCTTTGGTTGGATTTTGAAATAAAAAAAAAATGTTAAAAAGTGGTGCCTTTTACAAAGTTAGGTCAGCCTTAACTAGAGGAGTAACATAAAGGAAAGAACATTTTTCATTCTACCCAAGATAAAAGAATAGAAAAACTTATTAATAAAATGTGGGTGGGGAAGTGGAGGAGTTTCAAACCATAGAATGGTTCTAATTTGATTATGAACAGTTGGTACTTTCCAACCATACTTATCTTTTTGGTCTTTAGATTATGGATTATTGTCTCTTGGAAATTCCACCAAATATTCGGTGATGTAATTCATGAGGATTGCTGTACGTGGTTAGCCATTAAACTCTATTTGGGATTCGTGCTTTAACAGTCTTTCTATCAGGATGGCAGCTGCTAGTGGGTAAGAGGGGAGTTGTACTGGACTGACAGGCAACCATGCCTCAGGAAATCTGCCTGCCTTTTAGATGGCTCAGCCGCTCAGTAATTCTGGAAGTGGGTCTTCTCATCACGTCCATTTTGGCAATGGGTGTATAGGCTCTGAGCCTTATAAGTGACTTGTCAGGGGTCACACTGGAATGCCAGACTAGGTCTGAGTATTCCTGAAGCCAAGTTCTTTCCATCATGCCATACTGCCTCCACCTGGTGACAGCACACAATGGGGTTTGAGCTGCTAGGTGTGTGGTAAACAAGGAATCCGCCATCATTTATGAAGTACTTGGACCTGATGAATGGTCTCCGCCTCAAAGGATTCATCCTCCCCTCTGCTCTCTAAGGTTGTTAGGAGAAGGGCAAAGACTGGGTGTGGTAGAATCGAAGTTCAATGCCAACGTTAGTTCCACTGTAACTCAGTGTAAAGGGGGGACCTGGAGTGTAGGAAAGTGCCACTTTGTTTCCCATTTCTCTAAAATAAACACAACGGGGATGTGAGTACAGACACCTGTAAGTGCATACATACACCTATTACGATTTTTAAAGAATCTCCCATTTTGTTTTTTATTTCCCCCACAAGGGAGGGTGCAAAAACAGAGAGAGTGTGAATGAGGGTTCTTCCTTGGCCCACTTTAGAGTCAATGGGAGAGAGGGACAGGCACCCCAACAAGGTCTTCAGTACAAACTCTATCCATAGTCTCCGTTGGCCTGGATCTGAGGCATGTGCACTTGTGCCCAGTGTGCTCAGAGAGGGGCTGGGATATGAACTCAGAACCTTTCCCATGTGAGTCCAGTTGCAATACCACTGTACCACCACCTGGCCCACATACCTATTCTTCAATGACAGATATTAATGAGTGCTTGCTGTGGGCTAGGCATGATATGCTGGATTTTAGCAATATAGTGATGAGCAAAATAACTTAGTTCCCACACTTATAAAACTTATAACTGAATAAGGAGGATGGATTTTTAAAAATTCAGCCCACTTGGGACCAGCAGATGGTGTAGAGGTTATGTTGCTGGATTCCCACATGGCTGACTGCAGTTCAAGTCTCAGACTCAGTGGCTTGAAACTCATGCCAGGCAAATGTGCATGAGTGCCCAAGGTCCTGGGAGGAGGATAGAGGAGAAGGGATTGGGCATGGCCATCCCCCCTGGGGAGCGATTCCTCATTTCCCTCTCACTGTGTCTGTCTGTCTCTCTCTCAGGCAAGCACGTACTCTCTAAAGAAAAACTTCTCAAAAAAAAAAAAAAAACCCACAAATAAGATCTAATTACAAATCATAGTGAGCATTTCAAAAACCCACAAATTAAGATCTAATTACAAATCATAGTGAGCATTTCGATGTGAAAAATTCACACATGCACACACACACACACACACACACACACACACACACACGTACTGAGTAGAACTACCATACATAACTTGGTATGTTGCAAACTGTTAAGAATAGAGTTTCTAGAAAAATTGTTGGCCATAACTTTGGCATTGGAGGCAGGATTTAGTAAACCAGGTCTAAAATTCATCAGGTTCTTTTATATTTAAAAAATTGCATTAAGGATGTTTTCCCAAAGCTGAAACTCACAACCCTGAAAAAAAAATTTTTTTTGGAGAGGTTTTTTGCCATAAGGCACATGCGTTCACCAGAAAGAGAGAGACAGAGAGACAGAAAGTGAGAAATCACCCCCCAAGGGGATGTCCACACTGCAATCCCTTCTCCATTCTCCTCTCAGGATCTTGGACATGCACGCACACATGCTCGGCATGAGTTTAAGCCACCGGTTCCGGGACTCAAACTGCAGTCGACTACATGGGAGTCCAGTGACATAGCCATTATGCCAACTGCTGGTCCCGTAACCTTGAAATTTTATTAATTCTATATAGCAGAAAATTCTGAAAATTGATGACTCTATCAAGGGATATGAAAATCTGCTGGGCTGTGATTTGAAAAGTCAGTGTGTGAAAAGAGTTCTTAAAAACTCATTCATAAGACAGGTCTGTTTGAAAGCTTTGGCTGAACCTGTCTTATTCTGTTTTCCAGAATATCCATTTGGAGCAGAATTCTAAACATGCATCACAGAGAATGGCTCTTGACCCTTTGGGTTCTTCTGTTGATAAGGAGCTCAGGTAAGTGATTATAATTATTTACAAAAGTAATTCATTAGTAATCTGTAGGAAATAGCAAGAGGTATTTGTTGTTTCTTTTAGTGTGCTGCTGGCTACTGAGGGTGTTGACCTTAGTAAAATTACTAATTTAACTTTTTATGTCAGAAAGTTGCCAACCATTTCGTATTTCAGCCACAGAGAATGAAAGATTCATAAGAATGGGATCAAGTATCAAAGATGCACAACTTATAAATGAACGAGAAGATTCAACCCTGAGTTAATGCAGAGAGGGGGGGGCATATAAAAGCTTTCATCCTGAAATCAATTACATTTGTTTAAGATGAGCATTTGCTTTACATTATTTAAAACAGAAGAGGAACAGGCTAGCAGGTGGCATAGTGATTGGGGTGTTGGACTCCTCCATGGCCAACTGCAGTTCGAGTCCCAGACCCAGAAGCTTGAAACCAATGCCAAGTACATGTGTGTCCAGGAGGAGAATGGAGGAGAAGGGATTGTAGTGTGGCCATGCCCCCTGGAGGATGATTTCTCACTTTCTCTCTGTCTCTCTGGAGAATGCATGTGCCCCGAAGCAAAATATCTCTCTTTAAATAAAAAAAGAGGAAACAGTCTTCTTTATTATTGGGATTTGAAAAGTTTTACCCACTCTCCATCCTGAGAGGAAAACAAAGACTCATTTCACTACTTGGGTAAGAACAGGGAAAGTAAATAGAAAGGACCTTACAGATCTCGAAAAAACAATTCGAGTTAGATGGATGATGTAAAAGAATAACTGACTAGGAAGCCTGAGTCGGCTTCATAAAAAGCATTGCCTACCAGTGTAATCTTATTAGTGGTGATTGCTTGAGGTGTTTTATTGAGAAGAATTCCGAGGCCCGATTCTTTGAAGAAGAGCTCGAGGATTGCATAGCAAGGTTTCTCTTGGGATTGAAAGATGAGAGTGAGAGCATAAATATATATTTTCTAAAGATTTATTGTTTATTTATTCATTTTAATTTGACCAGAGAGAGATACACACAGAGAGAGGAAAGTGAGAAAGTAAGCCACCAGGTCCAGGACTTGAACCATGGTTAGCCATGTGCGAGTGTCCAGCGCCCCAACCACCATGCCACCTGCTGGTCCCGAGAGCATAAATATTAATCTGCTTCGATCTATTATCTAGGACAGGGAAACACATGCGCCCGTACCTCCTACTTTGAGAATTACTGCTGAAGAGAGAGCAGAATTAAGCTATTGATACTGTCAACTAATACAAGTCCAGTCTTGGAGTACCCCTACTTAAATGTATCCATGCATTGTTAACACACTTGGAATGCAATACCACCCAAATGTTAAGGAAATGAGGTGGATTTCTTCTCACTAGGGAATGATCTGCCAGAAACTACTGAGTGAAAAAGCGAGGTGCAAGCAAATGTGTGTCCTGGGTCCTGTGTTCAATAAACACACACTAATGCCTTGCTTGGAAATATGTACAAAAACAGCTTGTGGTGTAAGGTCACAAGGTCCCAGCTCTGTCCTTTTAGGTACTTAGAGAGCACCTTTTGTGAATGGTTCACTTTAGTCAGATAGACCATAGTCTGCATGGAGGAGTGATTTCATCTCATTGAAGTTAGAGACACCCAATCTTGGTCCAAACTCAAGGCCATTCCAAGCATAAACTCTCTTGCAAAGGGTGTGAGTTCTTGGCCAGGCTGACTTCTCCCATCACATTCGTTTATGGACGAATGGGAATCCCTCTTCTAGCACTTTGAACTGCACTCAGTTCTTCAATCAAGACCCTTTTCTAACAAGTATTATACTAAAAAAAGCCTCTAATGTTAAGTATAAGATTAGATTTCCGGAAGCAGCAGTTAGCGTAATGGCTATGTCGCTGAACTCCCATGTAGCCAACCATGGTTTGAGTCCTGGACCCGGTGGCTTAAACTCACGCTGGGTGCATGTGCGTGCATGCCCAAGATCCCGAGAGAATGGAGGAGAAGGGATTGCAGCATGGCCATCCCCCTGGGGGGTGATTTCTCGCTTTCTGTCTCTCTCTCTCTCTCTGTCTTTCTGGCGAACACACGCGCCCTATAGAAAAAACCTCTCCACAAAAAAAAAAAAAAAAAAAGGATTAAATTTCTGAAGCTATCAGCTGCCTGTGGAGTGTGGACTTTCAACTGTCAACTACCCACCCCTGGAGGGTTTTTATCCACATTAGATTTCTTCAAATGATGACTAAAGAGGAATAGGGGCATTTCTCCCTCAAAACACAGTGTGCGTGTTATAGAAACGTTTTTGAGATTAGCCCAAAAGACATTTGTCTAATAACCCAAGTCCCCAGTGTCTGCCCATTTATAAAATGGATAACTAGTCAAATAGGAGCACAACTGGATTCTACGTAAGAGTGTGAAAAGACTGCACCCCCGCCACCTGGCTGCCTTTCACAGACACAGTGATGGACGACAGACTCCAGACAGCACAGAGCACGGACTATGTGGTTTGTGCACATATCCCATTCCCTCTGCCACAGGGAAATAACGGTTCATGACTTAGCACAGTCTGAAGTGTCGATCAAACTGATGCCCACATACACACGTCACACCTACATCTGTGTGAGGCACTGCAGTGTAGAGTGGAAGTTGAGTAGCAGCCACCAACGAAGGTTGCCGTTCACTCACTCTCGTGGGTTGAGGTGGATTTGACATCCATGTTCTCAAAGGATGCTTCTACCATTTGAGCCACTTCCTCTTTTATTGTGGTAACAACACTGAGTGAAAACCACACTGCTGCTTTGAGAAAGAGACTCCAACTGTAGAGAGGTCATTTTTTCACCCATGTCCTTAGGGAAATGTTCCATTCGACTCAAAGATTCTCTTTCTTGGGACCAGCAGTTGGCATAATGGTTACATCATTGGACTCTCACGAAGTTGACTGTGGTTTGAATCCGGAACCAGTGGCTTAAAACTCACCCTGGGTGCGTGTGCGTGTGCGTGTGTGCCCAAGATCCTGAGATGAGAATAGAGGAGAAAGGATTGCAGCATGGCCATCCCCTAGGGGGGCGATATTTCTTGCTTTCTGTCTCTCCCTGTTTCCCTGGCAAGCACACACACCCTGTAGCAAAAATATCTCTCTCAAAAAAAAAAAAAAAAAAAAGATTCTCTTTCTTACAAAGCAATTGAAAGGCACTCTGGAGTCTCTCGAGGACGGGAGATGAGCAAAATCCCTTAATGCTGACATCAACTACCACCAGTGCCAAAGGAGGGAAGGAAGGGTCAGATACATGTCATTCCAGAGTGAGCACATCTGGGCCAATTGAGGAAGGAGGGAGCTGGAGAGCTCCTGAAGGGGAAGTGACACAGTGACCCTCATCAGTTCTTGATGATCCATGTGGTAACTGACAGCGGTAACACATTTACATACGCCTGAAGCTGTGTGGGTGTACCTTCTCCCTCTCTGAGCACAAGGAGGTGAGACTTCTGACCACGCACCAGTGACCTCTCAGGTCTCCATGGATTCTCCCCAGCTGGGGGATGTTCTGGTGCACACTGTGACCCCTGTGGCTCTCCTTATGAAGGCATTGTAACATGTAGTCTGTTCCTTCACAGACGATACCACATTGCTCTGACTTCCAGCTACAGTAGGTGAAGATCTGACACCTTTTGTGAGAGGTGCTGGTGAAACTTCTGTTCTCCTGGTGTTGTCGATGGGGACAGTGAAGTGAGAGAACCCACAGGAATGTGATGATGAGGTTTCTCAGGGCTTGCTTACTCTCCTTGCTTCTTCACCTAAGGCATTAGTAGGTTGCAAATAAAATAAAATAAAGATTACCTTTGTCATTTTGTATTTTTTTTTTCTCTTTACTTCGCTAAGAAGAAGCTTGTACTTCACGTGATTTCATTACTGCCCTGGAAGGGGAACCTTTCTATCTGAAATATTGCTCATCCCTACCTGTGCATGAGACAGCACCATCCACCATCAGGTGGGTCAGAAGCAGCAAGTCCCATGAGCCCATGGAGCTAAAGGCTGGCAGTTCACCCAGAATTACTGTGCATGGTTACACCTTGGAGTTCTGGCCAATTGAATCGGATGATGAGGGAAATTACTCTCTCAAAGTGGGGTGAGTATACCTTTCCTGGTTTTAGTATATGTCATAGCATTTGTGGCATTTGTTCAGGAACTCAGATGTATGAGGGGACTTCAAAAGGTTCGTGGAAAGATGCAGATTGTGAAAAAAAAATCTATGCATAGATTTCAACATACGAGGTAAACTTGTACTGAAATTGCATTTTTCCATCAACTGTTTGAAGACTCCTTGTATAGTAATCTGGAAGGTCAGACAATCCATGCCTTTTTTTTTTTCTTTCTTACTTTTCCTACAACATAAAATTAATACTGAAAAAAAATTATGTAATCTCCCTATGCTTATTTATTATTTTTAAATTTTATTTTGTGTGACCTTCATGAAAGCAGATTCTCTTAATAGGTTTCTTTCTAGGGGATCCTTGCCAACATTGAGTGAAGATGGAGGAAGGAAAGTCAGTTTTAAAATTCAGCTCTTCCTGTTGTCTAGACCCCCCCTGGTTGGGACTCCTAATGATACTAACGTGTACTGAGGGGATAGTGCCACCTTCCTGGGAGGGAGAGATGGCATCGCCATAGGCACACCTTGGTCTAGTTTTCAGGGGTGCGTTGGGAGCCAGGTGCCATACAGGTGGAGGAGGTGTGTGTTTGGCAGCCCCCAAAGCTCCCAGCCAAGGCAGGAAAGAGTGGGGCACAGGGAGGGCTTGTGGTCTAGTCATGACACAGCTTCAATTCCGCCAGTGTAGTCAGTCAAAAAACATGGTCTGCAAAGTGAGAGCAACCAACGGCCTACGTCCGCTGAGATCACTGAATGTAATTCTCTTTATGCATACAGAGGTCTGGAGTGTGTGTGTGCATGTGAGTGTGTGTGTGTGTGTGTGTGTTTTACAGAGATTTGAAACCAGCCATCAAAAACACACAGGGCAGGCTGAGTGGCATGGTATGCAGTCAGATGGAGCGGATGTCTTTTAGAAGTGCCTCTACAGTGAGTCCTGATTGTTATCAACCCTTGCTGCTGAGAGCAGCGGGAGATACCACAGCAAAACCTCAAGATCACTTCTGTGGTTTCGCACAAAATGGGGTCATTTTTGTTTGTCAGAAACAAATTTAAGAACTTGTTCCAAACATGAGAAATTGTAGCTGACCTTTTAAGAGGGATAGTTACAGAAATGGGTCACAACTTGGTTTTTGACAAGCTCAGGAGAAAACAAAGACTGGAAAATGGGGTGGACAGCAAAGAACAGCGAATGCCACCCCCGTCCTGATTTTGACTGAATAAAGGCATGGCTTATATGGCCAAGTCTTCTACCGCTCAGGCATAGCAAACCTAGGGGAGGAGCTGGTTACCTACGGCTGGGCACTTGGGGATAGCAAGAGGACTGTAGCCACCTTTCTGATACGACAGTTGGAGGACACAGCCTGGGTTAGGAAGCGAATGTGGACTCATCTGATAAATGTAGAAGGTCAGAGTGGGGTGGAGAAGCAGGGTAGCAGAGCTGAGGGCAAAGGAGTGGCCTTGGTGATTAGTTTTTTTTTCATCCTCAGAGGGCGTATGAGCACAGCAGAGAGAAACAGAGAGGGAGGAAGCACCTTCCAGAGGATGTGGTCACACTGAAACCCCTTCTCCTCCATCCTATCAGGATTTGGGGAATGTTCACATGCTCAGTGTGTTGGTCAAGCTGCTAGGACCAAAACTCAAACCATGGTCAACCATGTGGGATCTGGCTCCCTTAACTACTAGGCAGTGAGACCAGCGCAGTGAGGAATTTTGTAGGGTGTTGGAAATTGGTGCGTATGTAAGACCAAAGTGAGAATGGGAAAGGCAGCTTTGACAATGATCTTGATAATAAATGAACTTCGAAGTGGGCAAAGGTCGTTCTGGTCACTTAAGAGCACAGAAGTTACGGACAGCTTTCAATATAGCACAGTTCGTATCCTGTGCTTGCCACCAATGAGCGTGCAGTGTGCACATGGGTGTGCATGTGCACGTGTCTGCGTGTGGCGGCTCAGGTGAGTAAGCCTTTGCAGTTCGGTGTGGGGATTTGTCAATGAGCAGACCCTATGCCTGGAATTCTCCCATTAGGACTGTAACTACTTCATATTTTAGGAGTCCATGGCTGTAATAATTCAATGCCTCCAAGGACTGATACTTTGATCCTACAGTGGAAATCACTTAGTCACTTCAAATTTTATGGACATTAGCTAAGAAGAAAAAAGATACAGAAGAGAGAATTTTCAATGTTGGAGACAAAGAACGGAAGATAGTGAGTTAAATACATGTAGAAATCTAACGCAGATTCTTGGCTGATGAGTGGCAAATTTATCCTGTTAAAGGCCCTCAGGTGAGAGGGCTAGAGCTTCCACAGATGAGTCTTCTGATAAAGATGGGCCAGGGTAGTGACAGAGAACTGGTGGTCACAGCTGTGGATTGAGTTCACATCAGCCTTTTGAGCTCCTCGATAGCAAGCATGGTATATTGCTTGGTTCAACATCGCCATAGCCACGTCCTCCCCCTTCCCCATGGAAGACATCCAGTTCATCAATATCTGCTGAGCATTAGGATTGCCAAGATGGAAAACAACATCTACTAAAATGGGATATGCGTGCAGCTTTTTTTTTTTTTTGTAAGCAATAGGTCAAAGAGATCTGGAAATAGCGCTCTCTTGAGCTCAGTGAGGCTAAGGTCAGGGAAACTTTATAAACACACTTTAGAAAAGGATGTTGCCGAGAGATTCCGAATCCTCTCAAGGGCCACGCAGCTTTGCTGTGCTCCGTGGCCATCAACTCGCTGCCTTTCACAGTGATGATGGCTTGCCCCCTCTCCAGTCTTGGCCAAACTTGTGTAACTCCGTGCCCAAGGTTAAGGGTCCAGATTCCCATGGGTTGTAAAAGTGCAGTGTTGTGCAAAGCACTCCTGGCATTTAAGGCCAAACAGGATGGACGTCCTGGGCCCATCCTGTGACAGACATGTGACCACAGGCACATTGTTTAACTCCGCTATTCAGTTTTCTCAGTGGACACGAGGAAATAGTTACCTCTCTTGCACATAAGCAGTGCATGGAACTCTGTGTGCTGCTCCTGTCATCCTTCCATCCGACTGTCCCCTGGAAGGGGAACTGGAAGCACCCAGATGGACGTGAACCTGCCAGATACACAGGGCACCTTAGCAACCCCTGTGTGCTAAATTTAGATCACGGTCTAGTCAATAGGGAACACGTACAGGGGAAGCGAAAATCAGATTATACATATTTTCTTTTTAGGAAGTTTCTTTAAAAATGCTGTTCATTTTCCTCCTCTCTAGATTACTAATTTCTGATCAAAAGGGTCCACAACTATAAAACCTATTTGAATTCACTGTTGGTCAGTAAGGTATTTAAAGCTAATACAACTAGGCTGAGGGTAGCAATCCTGAATTCAGTAAGAGAAGGGGATTGGAATAAACTTCCCTGAGACATGTAAAACTGATGCACATATGCTTTCAAATCGTAAGGTCAGGAGGGACCCGCAGACGGCATAGTGATTATGTTGCTGGACTCCCACATGGCCAACCATAGTTCGAATCCTGGACCCGGTGGCTTCAAAATCATGTGAGATGTGTGTGCGTGTGTGTCCAAGATCCTGGGAGGAGAATGGAGGAGAAGAGGTGCAGCATGTCCATCTCCCCTTGGGGGGGGGCGATCTCTCACTTTCTCTCTCATTGTCTCTCTTTCTTTCTCTCAGGCAAGTGCACATGCCCTAAGACAAAAACCTATTTAAAAAAAAAATAGAAGGTTAGAGGTTTGTTTATAGACCTCATGAAACCAAGGCCATCCTGGGCTAAGGGCCTCTGAACTTGTCCATCACCAAAAATCATCGAAATGTTGAACATTTGTTGTTCTGCCATCTCTAATACGTAGTCTGCAGCAGTATGATGTGTGTGTGTGTGTGTGTGTGTGTGTGTGTGTGTGTCTAGACTGCTTAGGTCTTTCACTGCCCCCCTCTCCCCTTCCCTATTGTTAAATTTATTTATTTTTTTTTTTGAGGGGAGAGGTTTTTGCTATAGGGCGCATGCACTCGCCAGAAAGACAGAGAGAGACAAAGAGACAGAAAGGAAGAAATCACCCCCCCGGTGGGACGGCCATGCCGCAATCCCTTCTCCTCCATTCTCCTCTGGGGATCTTGGGCACACATGCGCATGTGCCCGGTGTGAGTTTAAGCCACCGGGTTCAGGACTCGAACCATGGTAGACTACATGGGAGTCCAATGATGAAGACTTTATGCCATCTGCTGGTTCCAAATTCATTTATTTTTAATTTTATTTATTTTCTCTGAGAGCGAGAAAGAGAGGCTCCCAGCAGAGTCCTCACATCATGATCTGCCTCAGTCCCGGCCAGCCTGGATCCCGGGTAGGGTACATCTACCCCATGTGCACAGAAAGACTGGGCACCTGAACCTGAGAACTCCTGGCCCCACATGGTCCAGCACTGTAGAGCATGGTTGTAGTCACCATGACCCTAGCTGGCCCATGTTAAATGTCTTGCTATTCTAAACCAAGAGGAGGCAGAATAAGATTTGGACATCAGAAAAATCAATCTCTTTTACATAAAAATAAGGAAAACTTTGAGTTGCTTACTAAAGGATAGATGGATGATATTGTAAAAGCCCCTATCATGATTTTAAAACATATTTACACTCTTTTTTTCCATAGAAATGATACCAAAACATGGACATTAAATGTTGTCAGAAGAAATAAAACCAAATGTTTTACTGAAGAACTAGTACGTAGTAGACTTAAGGAAGTAGAAAAAGTACTTGATATAGACTGTGAAAATAGCTATTATCAACATCTGGTCAACCAAACATCATTGTATAAGGTAATACTTTTCAAATATTTTAATTTGAGAACTTGACAGAAAAGATAAAATTCTGAAAAGAGAGTCTGCTGGCTGTGGGCCAAGAAACAAGCTGCGTTGCCCCTCACAGCTCACTTGGCCTGTCTGAGCCAAGTGTCCCCACGGGTCCTCGGGAAGAGCTGATAACAGAGAATGTACCTAGCAGAGCAGCTTCCTTGCATTAGCGCTTCTAGAAATAATAACAGCTTCCCTCCCCGCTCAGCCTTTATTTCCCTGCTCTCTCAATAAATTAATGTTCACTAATAATGCTCATGTAAGGGTTTTCATGTTTTTCTGTTACAGACTCCTTAAAATTTGTAACTGCTAAATATTTTTATATATATTTCACTTCATATAATTGGAAGGTAAAAAAATTATGAAGAAGTAAAACTTATGCTTAATTCCACCAGCCAGAGACTCTAGGTGGTTGAGTATGTGTGTGTGTGTGGTGTGCATGCGTGTAAAGTCTCCTTTTAAAAAGTGTTATATGTTATTGCCTATGTCTTTTTTTTGTCTATCTACATTGTGATTTATGACTTTGAACATTCTTCCAAACATAGGATTCCATGTGCCTTGTTTCATCTCATTAATCGCCTTGTTTCATGGTTTTTGCTACAGGGTGTCTGGATATTCATGATTTTCTTATTTTTCTCTATTATTTAAAGGCTAAATTGAATATCATTCTCATGTATCTTTGGGTGTTTTTGTTTGTTTGTTTGTTTTTGAGAGGTTTTTGCTACAGGGTGTGTGTGCTCATCAGAAAGACAGAGAGAGACAGAGAGACAAAAACGGAGAAATCACTCTCCAGGGGGGATGGCCACACTGCAATTCCTTCTCCTCCATTCTCCTGCCCTCCCATGCGCCTGGCGTGAGTTTAAGCCACCGGGTCTGGGACTCGAACCGCGGTCGACTACATGGGAGTCCAGCGACATAGCCATTACACCAACTGCTGGTCCCATCTTTGGGTGTTTATATGCTTGTCCTTCACCCAGACTCTTAGAAGCAGATGTACTGGGTGAAATGCTAGGTGCATTCTTGTGGCTTCTGATCCACGTTATCAAACTAGTCTTCAGGGAGCAGTGACAGTTTAAAATCCTGCATCTTTTGAAATAATCTTTCTTTTTTCACACCTCTATCATGAAGGAAAATAACACTTCTGGGATATTTCAGAATCTGACATGGAGGGGCAGCCAGTTGTGTGGTGGTTACATGGCAACTGCCTCGATTAAATCTTAAACCTAGCGGCTTGAAAAACATGCTGGGTGCATGTCCGTGAGTGACCGAAATCCAGAGGGGAGAATGGAAGAGATGGGATTACAGTGCGGCCATCTTCTCTGGGGGTGATTTCTGACTTTGTCTGTCTCTCGCTCTCTCTCTCTCTCTTTCTCTGTCTCTCTTTGGTGAGTGCATGTATCCTATAGCCAAAAACAAAAATGAAGCAAACAAAAAAACCAATGCAGAAAATTTCTAAAACTTTTTAATATTTTCCCCATTTTTTTCTTAATAATAAACTGAGCTTTGTAATCTATGTATTATATCTTATTATGATGTCTTTTATGGAGTGAGTTTATGTTCTCTCTGAGTTTCCTTTAGCTGGTTGTGTTAAGTTGCAAGCGTTCTTTCATACAATGCTATGGAGACTACATATACACATATGTATGTATACAATTATGAGGGATTGTCAACCAAATCAGTGCAAATGCATATTATGAAAAATCTATGTATAGATTTTAAACAAGGTTTTCACTGAAAGAAGCTTGTACTTTAATTCCATTCCTCCAGAAACTTCTTGAAGCTTCTTCATATGTAGTATATAGACAAAAAATACACCTACTCACATTCGTGTACACATTCACACATTGTGTGATTTCTGTAGACCACTTATAAATATTATAGCTCTCATGAAAACGCTGCACTGTTAGAGAAGGTGGTCTGAACAGAAGAACTTGGGGAAGTTGAAGCAACGGTTGGTGATTTCTTAGAAACCTGTGCTTGCACTTTTTGCTCCAGCATTGTTTACTTGTGATTTTTTTTTTTCCTCTAAGGCCGGCTCTTATCTGAAAAGTTTTCTAGACATTTGAGTCAGCTCTGAGTTGATGGAACTCGGTTTCCTGTCAAATGCACAAATGTTTTACAGTACATGTAAATGAGTGAGGTTTAGTGTACCATTTGAAAGAAATCCCTGTATCAGCTCTTTAAATTTCAGAAAGAGATTTACTAAGAACCTTAGGCAAACAGTTGACCACAGGGTTAAGAATCCCAAGCCCTTGTCTGATCCACGCTAACCATCGGGAAACAGCTGATTTGAAAGAGGAAACAGTCTCTGATACTTTACATATCTCGAAAAACATCAGTTTGGGTTTCCAGAACTCTGACTCATACGTAAACAATTTACTCACACCGGAGTACACATGTGTGTGCTTTGCAGGCCTGTTCCGGGCACCGTCAGAGTTGAGCCTCAGCGGTGACCAGTGCTGGCCAGCTGTGAGGGAAGGCCTGAGGGCGGCAGGCTCTGTCTGCTGTACGTGGGACAGTGTGGAACAGTCCAGGGCAGCTACTTGGCTCCCAGTTTCCCCATCTGATCCCCTGACTGCTTCAGGGTGACCTCTGGGTGACTGGTGGCCAGATTGAGGAAGGGGATGTTCTAATTATTATTGTTGATTCCTGGGACATACATGGAAGTCGTGAGAGAGAAATGTGTGCGTGTGCCTAGGGATCTGTTGATTCAGTCCGCTGCCCCCTGGTGCAGGGCATTCGGGGTGCTGATAGGTGCTCCGTACTGAGTTCTCCGAGTAGTTCTGCTCCTGCCAACACTCCCTACCCCTGGATGGGTTGTCTTGAGTATCCAGAACTTGACCAAGAGTGTTATGAAGTAGAGTGGCGCAGTTAGGTTTTGACCCAATCAGAGACATTTTGTGTGCTCTCTCTCTCTCCGTCTCTCTCTCCTTTCCCTGCTTCTCTGTCTGTGTTTGTGCACACGTGTGCCTGTGCACATGTGTGTGTAAAGGAGAGATGGAAAGAAAAGGATGCAAGTGGCGACAGTGTCTTATGCTGTTTCCCAACATGTGCAAGGGGACCTCAAACAACTCTTGGGGAAATGGAACTAAACTACATGTTTATTTTGGTGCAAAAGCATTTAGAAGTCCATGCGTACTTTTTGCACAGCATTTCCCATGAGCTGTGTGAAGACCCCGAATGAGCGGGATAGTTGCAGTGAATGGAAAGCTGCTCCTTGTCACAGCAGGGACTATGCCCAAGCACCGGGACCTTCAGCGCTTGCCAGTTTCCATTCTGTGGCCCTTCTTCTTGAACGAAATTTAACTTTTAAAATGTGAATGATTGTCATCTGAAAACTGCTCTGACTAATTAAGGTACTTTAACTTTTTTTTATTTTTTTTCAAAATGAAACAGAACTGTGAAAAGATAGCTGAGAGCAATAAAAACCCATTGATACGGAAGGATGCTGAGTTCACCGATCAGGGGTATTACACCTGTGTGCTTTCTATTCATCATAATGGAAAACTGTTCAACGTCACCCACACTTACAATGTAACAATAGTTAAAGGTAAGTGAAATTCTACAATTGCAAAGAAATAAGTACGTGGTGATAAAACTCAGATTTTTTTCTTCTTTTTTTTTTCAGTACGACTTTCTGTTAAAGTCACAGAGCAATCGAGAACACCCTTAGCTGGGCTTGTGACCATACTGTTGGCTCAACTAAAAGGGTCCCAACTGGTGGCCTGAAAAAGGGCAGGGTTTTGTTCTTTTTTTCTTTTTTTTTTCCTTTTTCTCTCTTAGCATCAAATGAAATTTCAGATGGGTGAACCTCACAGCAGTCAGTTCTCTCTCTCTCTCTCACCTGAGATTCGGGCCCGTCGTGGGATATTCTGCTGTTAAACTCGGGTTTCACACAACGCATATTTATTGCAGACGTCTGCGTTCAGTCAACTGTGCTTAGTTCTGAGAGGCAAGGGAGGCAGGAAATATGAAATCAAGTGAGCACTATGACAGGTCTTCAAAAGGTTTATGGAAAATGCATAGTATGGGGAAAATTATACATGGATTTTCAATTATGTTGTGCTAAAAGAAACTCATACTGTATTTTTTTTCCCCTCGCAAACTCTTTGAAACCCCCTCATACGGCTACTCTCAAGAAATTTGGAGAAGTAAAGAACTAGACAGAGGTGCCATCATACGAAGCACTGTCATCCGTGAGCCCTTACGAGTGTAGCGGGGGTGCCAGCAGGGGGCATGGTGGTTAGGGCACTGGACTCCCACATGGCCAATCATGGTTTGAGTCCGTCCTAAACCTGGCAGCTTGAAAATCATGCTGGGCATGTGTACATGCATGACCCCAATCCCAGGAAAAGAACGGGGTAGGGAATTGCAGCATGGCCATCCCCACTGGGAGGTGGAGGGTGGCTCTCCTTTTCCCTCTCACTGCCTCTCTGTCTCTCATAGTGAGCGCATGTGCAAAACCTTTAAAAAAATGGGAAGTGAAGGACGAGCAGAAAGAGTAGGAGGCGCCACTGAGCTGGTCCTGGAGGGTGGGCAACGTGAATGGACAGAAGGGCATGCTGGCAGTGGGGGGCTTGATGGCATGAGCGATCATGAGAAACGTATGTTGGTGGGGGTGGAGAGAACAAGGTGGATTTACTAGCGACCATGTTAAACAGAGAAACAGGAGTCTGGAATTTTACAGTGACTGACCTTGGAGATAATTAATGACATCTCACCCCAGGAAGATATCCTTCAAATGGAATAGCCAGTAATTGATCATCTAGTTCTTTCTTGGAAATGACCTAGGAAATTACCAGATCATACAACAGCTTAGTCCAGATTTTAATCTGGTTGTTGAGAAGTCATTTTTCCCTCATCAAGTTTAAATATGCCTTCTTGAAGCTTCCACTCACTGGGTTTTGCTTGCCTTTGATAGTTTTGCAGATTAAGTCTGGTCCATTTTGACAATGATAGCCTCTTGGATTCCTTGGAGCTAGGAGGTGTGTCCACCCGGGGCTTTCTTTTTCATTGTCCTGCAAACATGTACATGCCTCATGCAGCAGCCTCCGTGGCTCCCTCCCAGTGGATCCCCTCTTCACTTCAACCATCTGTCACTACCGACCCGTGTATTACTACTGCAGCAAATCGCCCTACCCAGAGTGTCCTTGGACAACTTGCATTGTTCACATGAATGGTTCTCAAGGTCTGAAGTCTGGATGGGTTCAGGGTACTAAAATCAAAGTTTTCCCGGGATTGTATTACTCCTGCAGGCTCTTGGGGAGCTGTTTTTGGCTTCTAGAAGCCACTTGCAGTTTTTGGTTCATGCCACTACATCTTCACAGTCAACAGCTCAGCAGCCTCGAATCTCTGTCTCCTAAACGTGGCTTCCGCGGTCACTACTCCTTCTTGACTCCTACCTTTTTGTCTCCTCCTTTGAAGCTCCTTGTGTCTGCACTTGGTCCTGGTGACCCAGGCTGTCTTCCCATCTCAACAGTCTTAAAAGAATCCATCTGCATAGTCCCTTTTGAGTTATGGGATGTATTCACAGGAACTGGGGTTTCAGATGTGGACATCTTTGGGGGGTTATTATTCGGTTTGCCATATCCATAAATTGAGAATCCCATAAACGAATTCTTAAACTTAAAGATCTTAAATTCTATGTATAATTATCTAGCTTATATTCTTCAGCCATACACACACACACACACACACACACACAAACATACACACATTCTTTAATCTCATGTAAATCTCTGGTCTTTGATAAATCTCTGGTCTTTGATATTTCACCACCTGCCCCTCTGCCTCAGCCTTTTAAGAACTCTTTCTGGGACCAGAAGTTGGTGTAATGACTATGTCGTTGAACTCCCATGTAGTTGATCGCAATTCAAGTCCTGGACCTGGTGGCTTAAACTCACGCCGGGTGCGTGCGCATGCGTGCCCAAGATCCCGAGAGGAGAATGGAGGAGAAGGGATTGTGGCATGGCCATCCACTCTGTGGAGGGAGGGGGGAGGGTGATTTCTCGCTTTCTGTCTCTCTGTCTCTTTGTATCTCTCTGGCGAGCGCATGTACCCTGAAGCAAAAACCTCTCCAAAAAAACCCAAAAAACCAAAAACAACACAAAAAACAAACAAACAAAAAACACCTCTTTCCTTCTTGCTGAGTGCCTGTAAGTCCAGAGGGGTGGCTTTGCCCATTCCTTGGAAATGTCCCAGAAACACCAGGTGTTCTAGAAGGGAGTGGTGTTGGTCACGAGAAAGCAATGATGATGATAATAGGGCCAGTGATCCCTTATCTGTCTACCAGCTAAAGACATGACCACAGTCGTTCTCAGAGTTCTGAGGTCATTAGCAGCCTTAGAGTGTATTCTAGCATTTAATGGGAGGCTGCTGAGGCTTGATTTCCCTTGCAGGCATTGTGAGCTGGGGGCTGAAGGAGAGAATATTCAGTCAGAGTCAGAAATGGAAGTAGAACTGGCTGTACAGATAATACTCCCAGCTGGTCCAGGACTGGGGTGAATCCAGAGAGACACCCAGGGCACAATATAGAAGGGACATTTTTCTTACTTGTCTTGCCCTAGTCCTAGTCCTATACCCATAAAGCTCTAAGTGGGGAGAACAGATAGAATAAATCAAGGCCCAGCAGAAAGGTAGAAAGGTACTTCCAAATGACTTGGCTTTTTCTTTTTTTCTTCCTTTTTTTTTTTTTTCTCTGCTTATTTCTTTCATGAGAGAGAGAAAAGAGGCACCCAACAGTGTCATCATGCTGTGATCCACACCCAGCCCCTGCCAGCCTGGATCATGGGCACACGCATGCCCAGTATGTACAGGGACGTCCTGGCATTCAAACCTGGAACCTTCCCTATGTGGACCCAGTTGCATTATCATGAACCTGGTGCCATGACTTCATCTTTAGGTCCTGCAGTTTGGGAGCATCAAGGGTCCAGCAGCCGTCACCCCAGATGAGCATCCCCTGTGACTGGGAGCTGCCTTGAGTGGAACCCTCGGTCTCAGTGGAGGGAATATAGTTCAGGGTGATTTCAACAGCTCTGCAAGCATGGAGGTGATAGAAAGTGAAGCAACAGACAACCTGGTCTTTAGTTAATGCAAATATGAGTCAAGTAAATTTAAGGTGATGGTTCTTAGCATCTTTGTTACATAGAAGAAGCATATTTTAACAGCTATTTGTCTTAGAGAAGCTCAAGGCCTTAGTAATGCATTTTTGTTTTCCTTTTTTCACTTCTAGGTCTTGGTGCTATATCTCCAGCTCTTCTTGGACCAAAACGTCGCTATATAGAAGTGGAATTAGGTATATTTTAGTGTACACATATTCTGCATTTATGAATGTAATTTGAGTCTTCCAAGGGTCAATCTCATTTATTATTAGTCGACGTTGTGTATGCAACACATTCTATATTTAGTGAAGAACATTACAAAACCAGAAAGAGT